CCCCAACCCCAGAGGGGTGAGCAGGGAGGTGACAAATCCCCGTGGCCCCTCACCAAGGCAGCTCGAAGTGGGTCTGGGCTGACCTGACCTCGATATTCGCCCTCCCCTCTTTCCCTTTTTGTGGGGTTTTAAGCCTGAAAGGTTTGGCCTGTGATTGCTGAGGTTGGGGGACATTAGGGGAGAGGGGGCAGGACCGGGCTGACGCTCCCATTCCCCATGGCCGTGGGGATAATCCCAGTGCTCAGCCTGGGAGGGGGTAGGGGCGGGACTGGGGGGACTGGGGGGATGCAGGCAGGGAGCGATCGGCTTCGTTAACCCCGAAAGTTCATTTCTGAGCTGTGAGTTGTGGGGTTTCTCCGCTCCTGTACTCTCCAAGCGTGTTGGAGCCCTCCCTGCCGCCCGTCGGCAGGACGGGAGCGAGGCCACGCGCAGACCCCTCGGGCGCCGAGACCCCTTCCCTGATTTCTGTCAAATCCAGGGAAACGGAGCGACGTGGCCCCTCGGCCACCCTGAGAGGGGTGTGTGCAGGTCCCGAAAGCGCTCGGCCCCGGCACGGCCTCCAGCGGGGGCTTCTGCAGGCACAAGCAGCCCCCCGAGGCTTATCCTCGTCTGCTGGGATGGAAATCGGGTGTCTGCATCCAAATCCATCCTAACTTCTCTTCTCTGGAGCCGGTAGCTTCACCTTTGGGTGCTTCTCTTCCCTCCCATCTCCCAGATTTTGCTTAACTCTCTTTTTCTACCACTTCTCTCTGTTGCTGACTTCAGCGCTTCACCCTCCAGTGTTTCAAAATCCACTTTGTTAAAAGAATTACTGTCCAAAACCTGCTCAGACCCCGTCCGTCCACAAGACTCGGGCTTTCCCGGTGCCTCGATAATCTTGTTAGTCCTGGGAATAAAAGTCCAGGCCTTGCTCCACAAAACGCCTTTACACCAACCCTCTCCTCTGCTCTGTCGTTGCCTCGGATCCGGCGCGCTGCGAGCGCTTTCCTTCGTTTCTAAATCGGGAGCCCGGGCGGACCCAAGTCCCTTCTGCTTTGCGTGGGCATTAAAGAGGTCGCCGAATCCTCTGCCTGGAGGATGCCTTGCCCAGCTCTCCCGGCGTGTTTTGCTCCAGTTTCTATTTCAAGAGCACCCAGAAACCCAGCACAGGGTTGAGGCCTTTGGTGGAGGCTATTTTGCCTCTCCCCCTCCGGATGCAGATGGATTTGGGTAGGGACCGGCCTCGTAGAGCTTTTGGTGGGTCTAGAAATGCAAGTTGTTACAGTCCCGGCTTTATAAAAACATTGATCTGGAGCTTGTGCCTGCCACGGTAGTGAAGATTTTTTTGCTCTTTTGAGATCTCTGCTCTTCTGTCCTGGCCCTGGGGTGGGGATGGGGACGGGCAGGTTCCCTGTGACCTGCTGGGGACTGTCAGTTGTCCCCAAACCTGTTCCTTCGCCTCGTCTCTTTGAAGGAAAGCGTAACCAGAACGTCCTTACGCCCTTCCCCGGCCGGTCGACTCACCTGGGAGAGGCTTTTGCAATCTTCACTCGGTGCCAAGACGCGCTTTGAGGAGCGTGACTTGACCAGCCGCTGCGTTGGGTCGGTGCCGTCCCTGTGGCTTGGGGACAGTCAGTGTGGGGGTGTCGCCCCAACCCCTGGCTGTGGGGAGGACGAGGCCATGGGGCTGCAACGGGGTGACCTTGGGAGTTGGTTTTGCCCTTTGCTCTGTCCTCAGAGGGTCCCCGTGTCCCGCGGGCTGTGTGGCTGGCACCCTGCCTTGCAGGAGGGGTGCTGGCTGTGGGCACCCCAGTCTGGCCCAGCGCTGGTTTCCTTGGGGCCAGTAACTCTCCCTCTGTGCCTCAGTTTACCATCAGCAGAGCCATTACTGTCTTCTGTGGGGGAGGATCTACAAAAATGAAAGTGAGAAGTTGGGAGAAGCTGGACCCCTTTTCCAAGACCAGCATGCAGTTCTACACCCTGATGACTTTTTTTTTTTTTTTTCCTCACCCCAGACAAGTAACTTCTCTCCCTGTCTTTACAAAAACAAAACAAATGCTGAGCGCACTGGTTTGTTTTTTTTTTTTAAAGCTGCTCTCACCAGGATAATGGCAACCTAAACTGAAACCCCGCCTGCGGATCGTTTTGTCAGTCCGGTCTGAGCAAGAGGAGCTGCTGCTCCTCAGGAAAGATTTAGGGATGTGGGGCTGCTGCCGCCTCCCAGCACGACCACGCCACCGCCACGGTGCCTGTTGCCGTTGTGGGACCTGGCGAGGGCTCCTGATGCATCAGGTTTAGATGCAGCAGTTGTCCTCAGCTGTTCTCTGGCTTCAGCAGTGAGCTGGGACCTCCTTGAGAGTGGGCAGAGGTGGCGTAAACTTTCCTCCCTGCCTGCACTCACCAACATGTGGGTGCCCCGAGTAGGGACAGCGCATTGAGAGCTCACCTCTGGCCCTTTTGGGGCGGTTGGGGGCTGTCTCTGTGTCAGCAGGAGCCTGTAGCATTGATAGGAGGTTGGGTCTTGATGGCTGCGTTAGGTTGGGCAGGCCTTGGGGCTGGTCTTGCGTTGGGCCTTGGGGCTGGTCTTGCGTTGGGCCTTGGGGCTGGTCTTGCGTTGGGCCTTGGGGCTGGTCTTGCGTTGGGCCTTGGGGCTGGTCTTGCGTTGGGCCTTGGGGCTGGTCTTGCGTTGGGCCTTGGGGCTGGTCTTGCGTTGGGCCTTGGGGCTGGTCTTGCGTTGGGCCTTGGGGCTGGTCTTGCGTTGGGCCTTGGGGCTGGTCTTGCGTTGGGCCTTGGGGCTGGTCTTGCGTTGGGCCTTGGGGCTGGTCTTGCGTTGGGCCTTGGGGCTGGTCTTGCGTTGGGCCTTGGGGCTGGTCTTGCGTTGGGCCTTGGGGCTGGTCTTGCGTTGGGCCTTGGGGCTGGTCTTGCGTTGGGCCTTGGGGCTGGTCTTGCGTTGGGCCTTGGGGCTGGTCTTGCGTTGGGCCTTGGGGCTGGTCTTGCGTTGGGCCTTGGGGCTGGTCTTGCGTTGGGCCTTGGGGCTGGTCTTGCGTTGGGCCTTGGGGCTGGTCTTGCGTTGGGCCTTGGGGCTGGTCTTGCGTTGGGCCTTGGGGCTGGTCTTGCGTTGGGCCTTGGGGCTGGTCTTGCGTTGGGCCTTGGGGCTGGTCTTGCGTTGGGCCTTGGGGCTGGTCTTGCGTTGGGCCTTGGGGCTGGTCTTGCGTTGGGCCTTGGGGCTGGTCTTGCGTTGGGCCTTGGGGCTGGTCTTGCGTTGGGCCTTGGGGCTGGTCTTGCGTTGGGCCTTGGGGCTGGTCTTGCGTTGGGCCTTGGGGCTGGTCTTGCGTTGGGCCTTGGGGCTGGTCTTGCGTTGGGCCTTGGGGCTGGTCTTGCGTTGGGCCTTGGGGCTGGTCTTGC